AGTGAACCAAAAAGCAAAAGTAGTCTGGCGCTCCTAAATAACGAAAAAGTAACCAGTTATCAATAATAAAACAAAACACCAAATGCCATACAAAGCGTTACAGTACGACCGCCATAAGGGATGTCTAAAGTATTCCAATGGAGGAAAACATAAATAAGATAAGCAGTATTCTACAGGAAAATGAAAGTCGGATAGTAATTTCCCAGTAACGAACGCTTCACGTGACACAACGCCAGTAACGAACAAACGAAGGAACGAGTTCTAAATCCGCGTGCGTAGGTGTCATAAAATACCGAGATCGTCGCTCGCCACGCGAAATAGAAACCGGATAAAATCAACGCCTACTACGAGGTCCGCCGGATGGCCTTGGACCCGGAAATCGAGCGAATTGCAGCCTTAAAGAGGCCGAATCTCGGTCTCGCTCATCGAATCGATAACCTGCAAAATGGAACCGTGACTATCTACCGATCACCACATGTTAATTGCATCACAACATACAATTTCATAACCTTTATCATATACAATAGAACCCGGTTTGAACGCCATGCCAAACCTTTTTACAAATCTCTAAACTGACAGGAACTTAGTATTTTTTTTCGCCATAATCTATTTCCCAGCTTTGAATTGAGGACCTACCATATTATGGGATAATTACATACATGCATTTGAAACATTGTCATTTACTAACTTAGCACCCAGGTGATTATTTGAACTATCGAACCAATCATTCGCATATGCCACAATCAAATCATTGAGAATTTGGTAAGATAGAAAATAGGGGTTGGTATTTTATCATGAATTTTAAGATTTGGATGAGAACTTGAAAAACAGATTAAAGAAAGTGCTAGTTCAGTAAATTGCAGTTTATAGTGCCTTTTCATATAATTGCCCCATGATTTAAAAAACACAACAGACTCCACAGAAACTTTTATAAATAGAGATCCAATTGCAGTGCCATAAATTAGACCGGCCGGCCGAGAGAATTAATTAAAACAAAAAATAAGCAATATCAAAGCAAGTTATGAGCATGAGTAAAAAAATAAAAATAAAACAGGAAAAACACATAAATATTGTGAAACATTTCTATGTCATAACGCTTACCTGAAGATGCCAAGCTACTATTGGAATAATATTTGGAGAGAAAATGGAAAATTAGGAGAAGAAAACAATAGCAAGCAGGTAAACATTTATGATTTACAGCATATGGATATGACATCTGAAGTTCATTATTTTCACCTTGCAAGGCATCCATGGCATTTGCGGCTTGATTGGCAGTGACAAAATCGACAAAGCACAGCACTAGTGGATCTCCTCCAGACTGACAGCGAAGAAAAGAAAAAAACTATAAGTGATAAAACAAAGGGACATTTACATGCATCTACCACCCAATTGTTATATATTTACATATCCAACACGTAAATTATGTTTTCTGTTTATATTTGCACCATCCAAATATGTCATCACATCAAAAGTACCATTATTTTAATTTTTTAAAAACTTAATACACTTTTTCATGTATAGGTAAGGTAGAATGCATAAAAAACATAAGAATTGAGTGGTATTCAAGTAAATCTTCCTAAAATCAACTCAGTAAACAATCGTTCCACTAAGGGTAGAAATATTGACTCACATGTCTGGATCCCTTGTTCACAAGTCTCACTTCCTGAAAGCCTATAAAAGGACGAAAAATATCTGCAGCCAGAGGTCAAGGAGCCAAATATACATCTAGAAGTAAAAGTTAGTGTAACTGACAGCGAAATAAAATAAATAAAACTTTTGAAAATTTACATGCATGTACTTAATTCATATGTTTTTACATGACCAACATATAAACTTCAATT